GGCTTTTGAAACATCTTATGAACTCAGGCAAAATAAACTAAAGTATATTAACTATTTAGGAATCTCAGTAAATGGGGAGGAGGAGGGGAAATTGTGTAGTTGAATGATCTTGCAATTGGATCTGTTCTATGTGCCCACAACATCCAATGTATAGGACTTAATATAAAACTGAAACTACAAGAATAGCATTTGAAACATAAACTAGTATCCTGTGGTTCCCAGGCTCTGTGCTGAATAGGAACATATCTGAGGTCTTCTTGTATTTTAGTTATACTATAAGTTGTTGGGGTTTATTGTTTGTTTCTATGTTTTGCAGCCATGCCCAGGCTGAAGAAAAAAGAACACACTCCGTTGTAGTGCAGAGTGCCTGTCAAAAGCAGAAACATCTAACTAAAATATGGTTCTGCCAACGAAGGCCCTGATTCTGGAGTAACCCCTGTGCAGAACCCCATTGACGTTAATGATGGTAACGGATACTCATTGCAGAATCAGACCCCATTAAGTCACTGAATGTTTTGTAATTATTTTGGTGTCATTTGTTCATTGCTCACCCACACCTGTCTTCACCCTCTAGGCTTGTCCCAACACTCAGTTACCTGCACCTTCATGAAACAGTGGTGAGCCAAAGGAGCACCCTGAGTACCAGCAGGGCTGTGAACAAATCAAGCATCTCACTTTGGCTCAGAGAGCCTGTATTCAGCACTGCCGCACCATGTAACTGTGTGAATCAGCCCTGGCTTTACTCCAGGCCAGATGCATAGCCAAGGATGTGCTTATCATACTAAGGCTCATCAACACCTGGTACAGCAACCTGAGACATCTGGCCAATACAGAGAGAGGAAACATGCTCCTGAATACACCCCTGATGTGGGTAAACCCCATCCTGCTAGTCCTCAGAATTTCAAACCACAATTGTAACCCTGGACTGCTCATGTGCATGCTGATAATCAATATGCTTTCCTAAACTGCATCATTCCTTAGCAATATTTTATCCACAGTGGCAACTTCTAAGTGCTTGGCACGTTCAAGGATGGTATTTGCACAGAGGACAAGGACAGACAGGGTAGGGGAAGAGAACAGCAGCAGTCAGATAATAAACCAGTCAACTCAATATGCATTGGGACAGTAGGATCTTTAACAGGCACTCAAGTGAGGACATTGGAGGAGCAATTCTGATTTGGTAGAGATTCTCACTCAGTATCCAAGATGCAAGGCTGTGCAGAGTCAATCCACTAGTTATGTGTTTTCTGTGCTTGTACAAGTAAGTCCTGCAGAAAGATCTCCCTTTCTGAGCCTCCTGATTTAAAAGCATGCTCAAGGCTAAGCTAGAAGGCATTATTCTATCCACCTGTGCCCTAACCCATCCTGCTGTCTCTGGATTTGAATCCTTTATTATCTGTTTAGCTGAATGATTGTCATTAACAGGGGTGGCCATCATGGCACTCAGTCATACCTGTCAGACTGACACTCCAGATGAATGAGCAGCACTGACCATCTGATCATAGTTACTTTCTGAGGTCAAAGGAAAGGAGATGGTTCAACTCTGTTTCTTATGTTCAGGGTGATTGGGCTCAAACAAGGGGGACACTGCCAAAATCTCCTACACAGGCCACATGGAGTCATTGCCCATGGAGTGGCCTTCTGTTCTCCAGCACCAGAGTAAAGTGGCCCTCTGTCTAGCTAGCCCCTTGATTAAGAACTGATTCTAAGCCTGATTCAGGTGCAGCTTTGTCTCTAGCTCCACCTCTCATCAGCCCAATATAAAAGCAAATAGGCAGCTTCCTTCTCTCTCCTGGCTATCCTTCTTAGCTAGAGTGCAGCAGTAACAGTCTCCTCCATAGGTGAGTACAAGCCTGGGGGAACTCTCAAGCCCTGTTACTAGGTGGGTTTTCAGATCACAACAGTAGCAGAACATCAACTCACAGCAACAGAAATGTCCCTGGTCTGCTCTTAATTCTAAGTAAAAGTGCAATAGTAGCTCTTCTAATAGCAAACATGGCTGTCTAATCCTAGTTTTGTAAAGACAAAGCTCCCTAAAGTACAAAATATACGTTACAAGACCCTTTCTCGAATCAAACAGCTCATATAAGCTGCTCAGAGCTACTCTGGCACAGACCCAGAAGATGACCCCTTGTGATACTCCTCTTCAGAGCTGCTCTTTCATTTTTTAATGTTGTAATTTTCTCTAGACCACTTAGAGCCATGAAAAACAGGTTTGCAAGCCTTGTATGCTAGCCATCTGCTGTGATATGGTGTGTGCCACCTTCTGAACCTGGAGTAGATTATTTGCTGCATTCAGTCATGTGTGTTCTGCTCATTATCTCCTAAATAAATTCCCCTACGTTTGTCAGATAAGATTCACTGTTTATGTAGACTCATTTTTAACAGCTCATGTTTCTTCCTTATATTGTGATCTCATCTCTTATTCATGTGCCTATGATCTCTCCTGCCACCGAAGTCAGACTTATTGGTCTTGCCATCTCTGACTCCTTAGACCCTCATTCTTCTTCCAATCTCCATACTTCTCCTCTGTGTCTCAATATCTGCCATTATTAGAAATCTTGATTGTGTATGGCTCAGCAGTCATCTCTGAAAGTTTGTATGTGGTGCTTTTCCATTTTATTGCCATATCTTTATCAGGGTCTATAGTAGGAAAACTACTGTATTTACTTGGGAGAGGAGTGGTATGTGAGCTGTTTGTAGTTAAAAATATATTCTGCAGTGTTAATACAGTCCTTGAACAGAGCACCTTAATTATGTAACTGTCTGGGGCTCTAAAATCCAATGTTTATCCTTGAGGAAAGCTTTTTTTTTTTTTTTTACAGGACAGGACTAATACAAGGGGTTCCATCACAGATTAATTTAGTCTATGTTCTTGGTAATAAGGCTCAAACAAAGTAGAGAATAAAATAACTTCTTGCATATCATCTGTTGTCATTACAAATGTTTTCACAAATGCAAAGGCAAAACTGAAACGCAGATTTTTGGTCTTGCTACAAGGCAAAAAATATCATTCATGCATTCGTGTACGTGCTGTCTGAGAAATAAAACTGCTCTTTCCAAAATGTATTCTGGCTCTCAGAACAGTTTCAAGGAAGGCAGCAAAAATAGCATCAGTGGGGGAATGCACGGAGCAACCTCCGCATTAGATCACTAAAAGCTCAATGCTACAGGGATAAGCTGTTAGGGGATAAGAGGAAAGTTCCTCTCATGGATTGGTAACTAGTTAGACAGGAAACAAAAGGTAGGAATAAATGGCTTGTTTTCAGAACGGAGAGTAGTATTCCGCAAGGGTCCGTACTGGAACTGATCCTATTCAACATATTCACACATGATCTGGAAAAAGGGGTAAACAGTGAGGTGGCAAAATGTGCAGATGTTACAAAATTGCTCAAGATAGTTACATTCACAGTAGACAGTGAAGAGCTTCAAAAATCTCACAAAACAAGGTGACTAGGTGACAATGGCAGATGAAATTCAATGTTGATAAATGCAAAGTAATGCAGATTGGAAACATAATACCAATTACACATTATACCAATTACACATCTAAAATAATGTCAATTGACATTGCTCAGGTCACATAGTTTAATTTGACTTTAACCCTCCTGGGCAAACACACCCTATCAGAAGACAGGCTACTGGGCTAGATGGACCTTTGGTCTGACCCATTATAGCCATTCTTACATTCTTTGGAAAAATCATTTTTATTTTTGCTGAAGCATGTTTCTAACCTGGACATCTTGAATAACAAACACGAAATATCTTTCTTGTGCTTAATAATTTGCACTGGCCGGAAAACTATGAAAGAGCCTACAAATGCTGCTCATATTGAATAGCTTGCTGTTAATATCTCACCTCTTATTTCAAACTTGTGACGCTTACGGCCAGAATGGACTATTCTGATCATCTTGTCTAAACCCCTTGTCATGAGTCTCCTTTATAGGCCAAATCATGTATTTACTTCTCTCAAGGAGGTATGGGGGAGGGTGGCTGACTGGAGATGCTCTAACGACTTTTGCCCGTGCAAAGCAGGCACATTTACCTTTCCACAGTGAATACGCTATATTGTGCTTATACCTGCAACTGAAAGGAACAGCATGAATTTTTCTCGACCCCAGCACCTGCTGTGACACACAATATGTCTGTGCTCCTAGGTGTAGTTACCTGCCCCACACAGCGTGAATATTAGGTCCATGTTGTCTGACTCCTGCACAGATGTGCTAAACTGGAGAGTCTTCCTGTGCCCTCTCCCCTTCTAAGGGCATTGGGAAAGTGGAGCAGAAATTATTTAGCTCTTTATTTGGAAGTGACCAAAAGTGGTACAAAGAGTGCCCTTGACTTTTTCTGTCGGTCTTTCTGTGTCTTCTCTCTGCCAGTCTGTCTCAGTGATCATTCTTCCTTTCCAAGGGTTGCTATGGGGGCACAATATCTCTAGCTGATACAGGGAGCAATCAGCCACCACGAGATATTCTGCTGCTGCTGTTGACTGTTAGCAGGAGGCATGCCACCTTTAAAGCCAGCACATTGGTGCACCCTTGTCATATCAGGGACTTTCCTGAGGTTGTACTTGATCCTGCGTCTCCCCCTATGCCAGATTTCTCTGCTATTACCAACTCTTTGTGCTGCCCAGGGCAAAGCTATTTTTATAAGCAGATGTCTTTACTGAATATTTTAAAAATAAAGCTCCAGCGTGGTGCATAGGGTACTGCATTGAGGTATATAATGAGAACTGCTTGAATAATAAAATACTAGTGTGATTATAAAAATCATCCTCCAAATTAAAACCCAGAAAACAAACTGAGTGCTATGTGAGATGACATTCTATTGTAGGTGCTATGTTACAGGTGCCACATGGAAAAAGGGGGAAAGAGAGAGGCTGGTAGAGAGAATTTACAGAGGAAGGTCTTTGTAATTCTTAATTTATTAACAAGGAGAGAAGAGTAGATCATTGGACTGTGTTACAAGAACCCTCTCAGCATGAAATTCTTTCTTATTACCTGATAGCTGGATGTGTTGTGCTTTAGATGGAGTTCCACTGTCTTTCAGGATAATGGTAACGAGGTACACTTTGGGTTCCAGCCAGCTGATTCCCATGGTGAGATAAGCATGTGTGTCTGTGGAATAACAGAGAACAAGCAAAATGAAATGGAAAGACAAATATAAAAGCAGGGATTGAGGAGGATTTGAGGTTGGAGGATTTATTTTAGAGAAAGAATGCAAGTAATAAACTAGCTGCGACTTGCATTCACTCCCTCTCTTCTGAACCTTACACTGAGAATATTCAGTATACTTTCCAGTGGCTGCATCATCAAATTCTGGTGTGACTGTAATGAGAGCACTGTATAGATACAAAATGTGGATCGGCAGCTGTATCTGCAAAAATATCCGCAGATGTGGATACCTGTGGCTATAAAGCGGATATCTACAAATTTGCAGGGCTTTAATTGTAATCACAAGGCATCAACACCACTAGTGCTGTTGCTGATTGAGGGCCTATTCCCACAAGGTGCTGTATGTTCTAAAGCAGCGATGGGAAACCTACACTCGTGAGTGGACCACATGGGTGGCCTTCCTTCATCTCAGTGGGCTGCAAGATTGTCATAACCAAAATGGTCTCCTGGGATAGGGTAGTTTTGCTAACTGCTTGTGTACCTAGAATTTGTGGGATGCGACGATTGAATAGTAGCAACACTTTGTTTGGGTGCAGAGGGAGCACATGGCTCTTACCGTCTAACTTGTGTACAATCAGCACACACCTTATTTCATGTGCCCTTGCTTTACGTGTGTGACACTTTAGTAATAGCGGTAGGACAAAAAAATATGCGGATGGAAACCAGCAGAATCTGGCAACACTGCACATGGGCAAAAGTAAACAAAATGTCTCATGGGCCACACACAGAATTCTGATGGGCCACAAGCAGCCCATGGATCGCAGGTTGCCCCCCGCTCTTCTAAAGGCAGGAAGCTCTCTGTACTTTGCAGCACTAGGCTGAAAGCCAAACACAAAAACCTTTGTAGCAAAGCCTGCCCAGGACGCCAAGTGACACCAGTGCTGTTGCCGCTCCCATTATTTACAAAGTCCACATGCTTGAAAGGGAGGAAATTATGTCAAGGACACCATATGATTTGTGCTGCCCATGTAACAATATCATGGGTGAGATAATGGGCTGCACTTCTAGCTAGGGATGTTAAATATCGGTTAATTTAATAGTCAAGTAACCTCGTGAATTTTTATTGGTTAATCGACTAGTCTATAGTCCCCATGGGGTGGGGCCGGCAGCCACTGCATCAGATGCAGCAGTGCAGGGTGCCAGGCAGGAGCTGGTCCACGAGTGGAGCCAGTTTAAAAACTAGCTCCCCATCTGAACGAGCTGCCTTTTGTCCTGTGTTGCTGCCTCTGATAAAGAAGCAGCAGCGTGGGGTGGCAGCAGCCTTTGTCTAAGGGGGAGTCTAAGCTCCTGGACCCAGCATGAGCCAGAACTGAGCCAGGTGGCCTGCTTACCTGGCTCCCAATGCACTTTAAATGCAGAGCCACAGCAGGGGTAGGTTCTGGACCCAGTGGGAGCCAGAACTGAGCCGGGCTGCTGGCCAGCCTGCAAAAAATGTACCGGAAGCATGGGGGAGGGAAAAAGCTTTTGCTTATCAGTTAATTGACTACACTATTACATCCCTATTTCTAACACATGCAGCATGGAACTCACAGAAGACTATGGTGGCATAGCATTCTCACGATCCTGGGCTGCTGGTGAAGCCCCCAATTTACCTTAGGAAGCTGTGGAGCTAAGTTATGGCCACCGTACTGTCTGTAGCACTGCCTGGAATCTCTGCAGTACTGTCTTCTGCCTTGCCTCTACAGCTTGCAAAGGGGTGGTTGGGAGACAGCCTTATAGCTGTCTTTCACAGACCCAGTACTGAGAGAAGCTTCCTGCAGATGCAGTCAGGATTTATAGCAGTATTTCTTAAACTGTGTTCCGGGGCACACCGGTGTGCCGTGGAGAACAACAGAGTTCAAAATGGCTGCACTTAAGGGGGCAGGCAACCTTTATTTTTGCTCAATAACTTTTGCTCCACAAAAAATCCTTGGTTTTCCTCATAAAAAAATTGTTTGGTGTTCCTCGGTCTTAAAAAGTTTAAGAAACGCTGATTTATAGGCTCCCTTTTTGCTGCTCCAGTAATTATACCTGGCATAAAGAGGTCAGAGCAGGGGTGGGGAATTGGCCCATTATTTTTATCAGAAATGTGTGTTTTGTCTAGGGATGCTAGCGAATAGTCAACTACCCAATAAGCATATGCTTAATCAGATAGTCGAGTGAAGTATTGATTTCTTGCTTCCCTCACCCCGCTGCCTCTCAGAGACAGCAAAAGGGGTAACAGGAGCCAGTGCTGGGGGAAACCTTAAAAGCTGGTCCCCTCCAGCACCATCTCCACGGTGCCACCTGCCCTCTCCCCTTCCCGCCCCCCGCTGCCTGTATCAGAGGTGGAGCGGGGGCGAGGGGAGAATAGGAGAGGCTGCTGCGAAGCTGCCCCTGCCCACGACAGGCCCAAGCCTCACTATAGGCAGAGGCTGCTCTGGCAGCAGCCCCTGTCTGTGGCCAGACCTCTCTGCCATGAACAGGGGCTGGTGCCAGAGCCCCTGTTCTATATTTAAAATGCAGATCCACAGCATGGGTGGTTCCCAGAGCTGGAATGAGCCGGGACTGCTCATTCCCAGCTCAAGTCAGCTCCTGAAGCTACCCCCACTGTAGTTTTGCAGAGCGACTCTTATCAACTAATCGTGTACTCAATACAAATTGTATCGATTACATGATTAGTCAGATAACTGCAATTTAACATCCTTAATTTGTCACAACATAGCAACTTTAGCTTTGACCCAAAATAAACTCCATTCCATCAGTAACCTCAAAATAGACAAAGGATAGAGAAGACACACATACTCTGATCTCAACCATCAGGATATATACATGTTGATACCATAACAATATAAACTTTCCTACCAAACTACATTTACAACTTTATTCTCAAGAAGCAGCAATAATAAAGACTTCCTAAAAAATCTTATTGTCCCCTAATAAATATATTAACTAATATTTCTCATTAATAATAGCCCTTAAAAGAAAATACTCAGAAACTAAAATCAGAGTAACACTAATATTATATTAAGATCCCTACTGATCCATCGATTGCTCTACTTAGAGTTTTACCTGTGCATCTTCCATGTAAACACCTCATAAATCTATTTGGTGGAGGCAAGAGCTTCTTTTCACTTTAGAAAACTAACCAGAGGTTAAATTAGTTCAGAGGCTGATGTCAAAAATTTTCCCTGTTGCTATAATTCCTTTCTCTGTAAACTTCACCCCTAATAACAACTTAAGCCACTTTAGCTTTGACCCAAAATAAACTCCATCTGTCTTTCAAAGACTGATGGTTTCTTAAACACTTTACTATTCCTGCCTTTGAAAACTGTCACTTGTGTGAACCAAAGTTTAAAATGTTTGAAATTTTCTGTGTAATGTTATCAAATGGAATAGTCAGATGGGCACAGGAGCCAATTTCCACAAGTTTCAACAAGAAGCCATTTTAAAGCCTTTTGATCTGTAAGTGCTTACTCAGTTTAATCAACATTTTCAGAAAATCTTCTAGTTGCCATTGAAAGTTACATGAAGAGTTGGAAATCATGAGACTGTTATTCTTCTTGAAAAGTTACAAGGAGTTCAAAATCACTCTTATAATGGAACTATATTTACAGTCTTAACTAAGGAAAAACCTTACTGATTCTCCCTAATAAAACAATCTTTATGTAATACTCTGGAATGCTGGACCTGCCCCACTCCAAAAATATAGCCTTCCACCACTTGAGCAGAAGGGAGAATTGTGTTCACAATCAGCTATGGAAAAATCTTATTGCTTTCTGTAAGATGAAACCAGTCAACAGAAGGTAGAATAGAATGTTCACACTACTAATCCTGCTCCTATTTGAAGCCAATGACAAAAATTCTGATTGGCATTATTAAAGGCAGCAATTGGGTCAGTAATTCCAATTGAAATCAAAGGGTGCAGGATTGGACTCCTAAACCATCCATAATAAACAATATTTGATCACTTGGGTTCATTAAAACGCCTCTCCTTCAAATACACTGAGTTTTCAAGGGGGGTTAACCATATGAAATATTTGAAGGAATAGTAAAAAGCTGTTAGTGTAAGACATTTTTTAAAATCAGAGTAATGTTTTAGCGATCTATAATGCAAAATCCATTTTCCATATGGCCTTCCCACAACAATTCTCCTTGTCTTTGTGTTCAACATGGGAATTCTCAGCCCAAATTAATTTCATAAGACACAGACAGAGGGGGACTAAAACAAGGATTTCTATCTCTTCTCTGTTATGAAGCCTATATTTATCATTCACGCACCATTGATCAGGTTGATCCTCCAGTTTCTCCGAAGCATGGGGCTATTGGCAAGAGAAAAAAATAGTGGGGCACTGTTTCCTGCCCCATCAGGGTCAAAGGCACTCATCATAATGGATTGCATTTCCCTCCGAGGTGTGCAGAGATAGGATTTTGAGTAGTCTCCTATTAGGAATGGGGAGTTGTCATTGACATCTAAAACATGGATTGCTATCTCAGCCGTGACCATCATTGAGGGGCTACCTGCAAGAAAACCACAAAGTGAAGCAGATAAAATTTCAGTGAAAGTATGTCTAAGCTGGAATTACTGCTATTTACAATGTTTTCTTGCTCTTCTGGAAATCTGGAACCAGATCTTCAAAAGTATTCAGTATCCAACTAGCACCTCTCATCCTGAGCTGTTTAGAAAATCTGGCTCTGATTCTCTGTGGAGCTCTTTGGAAAGCTTTGGCCATAACATTTTTACTTCAGAAAGTGGAAAAGTTTGTGTAGTTTTGTGAAATTAGTAATATGAAGAAATGAAGTTCAGAGAAATCCTTAACAGAATACAGTTCTGAATCAGATCCTATAGTATCGTCATAGTCTAACATTTTAGATAATATAACAACTAGTATCTTAGAAGCTTCCTTACATTTTCACTTCCATCCTGATCATACATCCTTAATCATTTGGTGCGGAGAATTTTCAAGTAACTTTTAAGGAGGAATATGAAAATACATTTCTTTATCTAGCTTTGTCAGAAATACTAACCCTTACTCGCCATAGAAAGTCAGTGTAGAGTGTCCAGTGCCAAATTTTCTGGTGTTCTTAAACCATTTTTGCCTATTAATTGATTGCTAACATTCAAGTGAAATGTACTCAATTGCAGCATCTGGTCTGCATGACCAGATTCTCATTTGTGCATACACATGTGCATACACATATTCATGAACAAACTTATGCATGCACACAAGTTTTCTGAAAACATGGCCTCAGCTGTCATCTTAGTACATTGTTAAAATTGAAACCAATAACGTTTTATTTTTTTAAACTCAGTAATTGGATTTGAATGCAACCTACCATGCAATGTATGTAGGAAAAAAGGGCTAATAATGCCTCTTGATGTTGCCTTGATAAAGCAACATTCAGAGGAATATCTATAATTTTAAAGTTCTTCATAAAAGGAATGTTCCTAGACCAAAGGGTGACAAAGATGCTCAAAGGATGAGAAGATAAGTCTCAACCCATGCAATGACTCTCTTAGGTGAGCCAACTGATATTTAGAAGTTGCAATAAAACAGCATGTATTGGCAAATATTTCCCAGGTACCATACATATCATAAGTAGTATAGTCATAAAATCCCCATCAGCTAAGGGGCAAGAATATACGCCAAGGCTATCCATGCGCTCTGTACCAACCAAATGAGCAAAAGGCAGAATGACTCTTATTTTATGGCAGGTCTTGTGAGCCTCTCAGTTTGGGTCACTAGCACCTTTATCAATATACATTTGATTATGTGGTGGTAGGAAAAAAAGATCCCTTCCTAAGTAGTAGTAGCCAGTTATCTGTGATAGAACTATGGATGTGATTCCACTGTTGCCATCAATACTCAGATCACTGTGTGTACGAACTTAAACAACAACAAATGGTCTGGTAGCACTTTATAGACTAACAAAACATGTAGATGGTATCATTCATGAGCTTTTGTGGGCACAGCCCACTTCTTCAAATGACCGGAGTTTACTGTGTATGGTTACTGTGAATGGACCCTCCCTGCCTCCATAACCAGGGAGCACTAAGCTAAGACATCAGGATGCAATGCTGTGATGTGCCAAGTTCCTTCTACAAAGTTCTGAGCTGTCTTAACTCCTGCTGGCTGCAGTGCCTCACAGGATTGGGCTTTTTGAACACTTGTGGCTATTTATATTTTGGAGTGAATCATCCTATTCGTGTCTCACTGCAATTGTCTATAAAGAAATGTGATCCGTCATCTCCTTGACCTTGCCCCTTTCAGTGCATTCGGTGATTTACCATTCAGGAGTGGTATTGGCTTTAGGCAATTTGAATACCAGTCCTTTATCCACTACACGCTGCAGCTGGATGACTACGGCTTCATATGACACAGACGATTTTTATATAATTACAGTACTTGCGTTCACATATGATTCTTTCATTGACAATGACAATAGTAAATTCTCTGTCTGGTGTCAGACAGAGGTGTGAATCAGACAGGCTGAAAGAGAAATGTTCTTGACTGAATTAGTTGGGTTTTTTAGGTAAATTTGTTTGTGACATCATTGAAGTGTGAATCATTGCCGAGAAGCAGCTTTTATAGGAATAAAGGTTTGATATTCATTCTTTAACAGTGTTAGTCTTTAAAAAAAACAACTCATCATTTTCCATCCATATAATCAGACCATGCACCTGTGTCCACTGATTGCAGTGGTGGCTGAGTTAGAAAAATCAAAATCAAGTTATTCTGTTTGTGATGCTGAATGTGAATTGAATATCACTCAGCAAGCCCTCTTAAACACAAATGAAAGAATTTTAAGTTTGGGGATTTCAATAAGGCCATCCATTTACAATTCTTAATGCGGAGGGGGATGGGAAGACAAATTGTTAATCAAGGCTATTCACCACAGAAAGAGAAACTAGCTTTTCTTCTGGTGTTTCAAAATATTTTTAAATAATTTGTTTTCTTGACATTAAGCAATTTCCCTTAAGTTTCCCAGCTCAGTAGCTCTTTATTTTTAAATTGAGAAGATACCCTGAAGAAAAAAAGAGATATGTCAGATTGGTTAGTTTGCTGGTCAAACAAAAGATTAGAGTCTTCTCTCAGTTACATTGATGTAAATCTGATGACTTAGGCTATGTCTACACTACAATAATCTATTGGAAAAAGGTATGCAAAGTGTGCTCCATAATTTCTGCACCTTTTTCCGATAGTTTTTTTGGAAGAGGCTTTCCCAAAATTTGGCCTGTCTACACTGGGCCAAATTTTAGAAAAGCCTCCTCTTTTAGAAGAAACCTTCTTCCTCGTGGGAGGAGGAAGACAGGACTTCCGAAAGAGCGTGTCTGCTCTTCTGCAAAAAAAACCCGAAGAGCAGATGCATTCCTTGGACATGGCAGAGTTTTTCCAGGATACCAAAGGTATCCTGGAAAAACCCCGTAGTGTAGACATAGTCTCAGTGGCGTTACTTCAAATTTACATCATGTAAAGGAGAGCAGAATTTGGCTGTAACAGAGCATACTTACAGTCTGTATATCTCATGACTATACAAATTAGTTATGATACATAGGTCCAGGAAGTGAAACCTATTGTTTTCAGTAATAAATAGACCAGCAATAAATCCATAAAGGAAGATTTTGCTGAAGCTGTGTTCTGCTGCACATTTTATACATGGTCAGGACAAAACTGTCAGTTTTGACCTCATAATGTATACACATGCACTGCTTACAGAAAGTTAGTCCCATGTCCGTAAAGTATGGAGAAATGAAACCTTAAACTAGAAATCTCTCTCACTATGCTATCTGTAAAATTAGTGAAATCATGCCAAGTTTCATAGATTCATGATGCTCCTGTCTTTGTAATCTAGATAGACTCCATGTACAGGCATGGTGCCAAACTGAGAGGTGTCTCTAAGTACAATTTTTCTGACTCCCTCTTCCAAATGCATGTTGCGTCATGTTGACTGAATGTCTTATTAAGACACATACCCCACTTACAAATGTGCCACTCACAAACCCATATGCATCATCTCTGAGTTTGGTCCTCCTGTCTTTTCCCTCTGCCTGAGAAGAGAAGAAACCTGTTTCATCTAAAACCAAAACACATTCTTACCTTCGTCCTGCGCAATGACCTGCACTGTGTAAACATCCTGCACTATTTCTCTGTCCAAAACCTGCATGACTCTAACTTCTCCAGAATGCTCATCAATGGAAAACCAGTTCATTGAATCATTTCTTAAGGAGTAACTGCAAAGTGAAATGTGATAGAGGTGATCTATATTATGTTAATTTAATATTAACTCTGATTAGTTATTTGTAATACCATTGCAAGTTCACAGTGAGCAGAATAAGCTTTATTCCTCATTAGTTTGTCAATTCTACCATGTACATTTATGATACAACCATTAATTTACATAATTCACTTCATCTTTCCTCAGAACAGTAAGGTTGAGATTGTGAGATAAAGTCAAAATCACCAATCTGAAACTGAAGGAAGAAAATCCCAATCTGATAAAATTCTCAGTGTTTTTCAAACTTGGGTTGCAGGATTACCAGGATAAGCTGCTGGCAGGCTGGCAACACTTGGGCTACGTCTACACTGCGCTGGTTTTGAGAAAGTAATATGCAAATAAGGAAAAGCGTGGAATATCGACGAGACTCATTTTCATAATTGAGCGGCCACTTTTTGTGCAAGAGGGGATTTTTGTGCAAGACGGAGCTGTGTAGACAGCTCCTTTTTGTGCAAAAGCTTCTTGTGCAAAAAGCGGCATCTCTTTAATTATGCAAATGGGGCTTGGTGATACTCTACGCTTAGCCTTATTTCATTTGCATATTTCTTGTGCAAAACCAGCGCAGTGTACGCATAGCCTCTTTTACTTATCATCTCCATAGCTATGGAGCCTTGCAGCTCCTCTTGGCTGTAAACGGCAAGGCTCCATGGCTATGGACACGTTAAGTAAACAAAATGGTATGGGCCAGCAGTGGCTTAGCCTCGTGGCTCCATGACCCAAATTTGAAAAATGCTGTGCTAACTCATAGAATCTGCTAAATGAAAAATTAAGATGAAATTGATAAAATATCCATTAATCTGAAATATTTCAGCTCCAGAGCTTCAAAAACAGCTCTTCAACATATAAACAAATAACTCTGTCTCCTTTAAGGAATTCTTAAAGAAGCATTACCTTTAAACTGGGGACAATAAATAGAAATTCTCCTGGAGCCATATTCTCCCACAGAGGAATACAGGTGATTTCCACTGAAGTCAATCAGAGGGTTTCTTATTCTGTGAAGAATGGGGGCTGTGTGTAGCTCAATTTCAGCTGAATGAGTTAAATCAGCTGCGGGCCTGATTCCCAAAAGGGAGGGTTTTTATTGCTACAGGTGAAGTTATGGACCATTTATGAGTGGCAGGCAGAAGAGATGGGAACGGGGATGCGCACAACTGTTTTCAATCTGACCTGTTTCTGATTGGTGGGGCAGTGGTGGAATTTTTAGAGCCTAATCATCAGCTGCACCAGAGTTCCATCCCAGCATGCCCTTGGCTCCAGAGTATACTACAAGGGGGGTTCCTAGAGCTGGTGACACCAAGTCTCTGTCAACTGGCAGTTCCATCACATGAAAAAGAATCCCACCTACATAGTCATGGACTTTGATACTCAAAATGCCTGATATGGTGGAGAAAAGGAAGCCAGAAAACAAACCTGAGGGGGACAAGATGGATGTTAGGCTGGAGGAGGAGGCTGCAATAGCCAAAATGGGAGAGGACAAGACAATGCTGGAATAGAGCCATGCAGCGCTTTCTGAAGTTACATCTGACTTTCTCTGCAAAACTGTATTTCATGGACTGGGTAGAAAATGGAAATACAGAATTTTGAAGCCCCCCCGAAATCTGCTGGATAGGATTTCTTTTGGGTTTATATTTAATATTGAAAACTACAGACCAGTGACTAATCAATTTTCAAAGGATCAGATTAAAACTGTGTCCTTATTTTAATGCTGTTTGGGTACACATTTACAGGAACAAATAAGAAGTAATTTGAACTGTAGACTGTGCTTTGAAGGAAATTACACATTGGCTCATTAATTCCTGCTTGCTTTCTGGCAGGATGCCAGGGCATCTATAATTTACCCCCTCCATTTTAGTCAGAAATCCTAACATGTGCCTCAAAAACATGTGAGGCTTTTTCATTCTCTCTTACCCTGGATGATCTTTAAACAATTGCAATTTCCATTTAGGTTTTGAATTAAAAAAATCCTTTTATTTGGTAAAAGCAACCAAAACCAAAATTCAAGCTTCATGGGTTGTTACAGATGAGTTTAGCATTTTGAATGTATTCATCTATAAATATATTTTCTATCTTCTGTCACCAGTTTAAAGGTAATGCTCACATGCTGGTGCATGAAATTCCTGCTCATGTGCTAATCTGACAATCTCTCCAGGATCATTAGGGAATCAAACTCCAGATGTCCCAGTGAACAAAATTATCTCAGTTAGCATTCCTTATACTCGGCTTTAACATTTTTTCTGGCAGTGAAGGAGATACATGTCATCATATTTATAAAAGAGTGAGTACTACATTGTCTAAACAGGGCAGATTATGGCCTATGTGGGAAAATCCCAAATGATGTATACATGTTTCAACTCAGTTTCCTACAGATCCACCCTTTAAGGGGTGGGTTTACTTCTTTGCTACTAGCAGAAGAAATGTGGGGGTAGCCCTCAAACCCCATGAGTAATATTTCTACAGGGAATTCTCCTAGATCTTGGGGGAGCCATGGAGGACCGGGGCAGCTGTGTGCCATCTCTTTATTCCCTTCTCCCACTTTGGCTTACTTCTAACCAGCCTCTGCCCTTCAGATTGTATCCCAGCGCAGAAGAATCTCCTTGTTAGCCCTGTGTTAAGTTTACTAGAGACAGTAATATCATAGCATAAGGAAATCCCTACAAGTTTCAGTGTGGTAGGGAGCTTTTCTTCTGGCTCCTCACTGCCAAGCCATATTCTTCCCACTATAAATCCTCCAGTATATGAAGTGGTGGTTTAGACTCAACCTTCACCTTTTGGCAAAAGTTTGCTCCTTCTATGGCTTGTCCCCATGTGGGGAATGTCCTTTTGGTTTGAAATAACACATTTTCTTCTAAAATCACAAGCATGCCAAGCATCTGATATATATATTTTTTTGATCAACCAGTTCTCTCCAGGCTTAACCTCTTACAGTTCCTTAATGTGCTAAACTCCTCAGTGAGACTATTTTAATTAAAAGTGTTGTCATGTCATGGTAACAGATTCATCACTGAAAGTGGTTTTGTCCTATATATCAAAGAATCAGAGCAATGGCGGCTCTCTATTGATGACTGCCATGGTTCTTATTTGAAAAGCCCCAAATCATGTGTTCAGTTAACGTGGTCATTTCTGGTGCCTTGACACACGCTTGGGCTAAACACCATGTCAAGGCTCCAGAAACTACTAATTTAATTGAACACATCATATTGGGTTCTATAAATGAGAACAATTCAGAGCACTTTTAAAAAGCATCAGTCACAAAGTATTCAGCATAGCACACTCTAATCAGGAAAGAGGAAAGTCTTACCTTAGTGATGGTGTGTAAATGTCAGGATCTGTAGCCTTAACTGTCAGTAGTACTGTTCCCAACTCAATGCTTTCTGGTATGCTGACTTCATACCTTCTCTGTGTAAATACTGGTGCTTCATTTACATCCTTAACCAACACATGCACTGTAGCTGTAGAGCTGGCATCCTGCTCTTTCCCAACCAGTTCTTCATTGTTTCTTGCCGAGACAATCAAAACATACTCCTGAACAGTCTCATAGTCAAGTTCCTGTAATCACATTAACCGGGTGTCTCTGAAAGTCAGGCTAGGCAAAAAATGGGTTGCATGACTGCATTAAGTCTTTAACTAAAAGCAGCTGCTTTCTGTGGAAAATTTTGTCTTTCAATTGAAAAGTGGAACACTTAAAAGCCAAAATTTTTAAATTCAGAAATGCTGTTGCCTCATGGCAATAGTTGTATTCTGTCTGGTTTGTGCCCCTAACCTCCTCCACAGGCCAGGTTCTCTTGCCAGACTACATCTCCCATGATGCACCAACAGTACAGACTCCTATGATGTTTGTCAAGCATGTCTCAGCAAGAAAGGAGACTGTGGTGCATTGTGGGAGGTGTCAGGAAGCCCAGACCAAAAAAAGGGAAAGGGGATACAAATTACACAAACTACAACAGCCATGAGGCATTGGTACCATTTTGACTAGAAATTTTTAGGTTTTTTTTTTGTCAATTTTCAATGGAGAAAAATGGTTTTCCAGTTAGCTGTTTTTGTAAATCACTATATTTAAGGGTAAGCCATTTCATTCACTATGTTTTTAATTTTTTTAAATGAATGAGTATTTCATCTGAATCCCAAGCAGAGATGCACTGCAATCAGCTGCCTATATCTAAAACATTTTCAGTTTCACTGAGAGGAAATTTGAATTGCTAGATCCAAATTTATGCTACGATTTTTGTTCTAGGTTGGATCCAAAACTCGAAAAGAGTTAAATTTCTTGAGAACAGACTTTTCCCACAACAGCTTCAAATTAGGGTTGCCAGGTGTCTGGTTTTTAGGGATGCCAGGTGTCCGCTATTGACCCGGGCAGTTCAGTATTTTCGCCTCCTATCCGTTAAAAAAATTCAGAAAATACCGGACATCTGAAATATCAAGAATTTTCTGATTTTTTTTTTCCTGGCCAGGAGGTGAAAATACCGGACACCTGGCAACCTAAGCTCCAGGGTCCAGCACCCAGCCGCACCCGGTCCCCGACACTCCCAGCTCCTTGCCCTCAGACCCCATGCTTACCTGGTTCTGCAGGAAAGCTAAGTTCTGGGTTGAACAAGAACACAAAATGGCCACCAGCAAAAAGCCTAAAGACCAAGGGGAAGAAATGCCTTCCCTGGATCTTAGTGCTCAACTCCTCCCCTGTTCCTATCCCTATTCTAACTCTGCACTCACTCTGAAAGGGGCCATGCTGTTTTATAATTTTATTTTATTTTTTATTTATTCAGGGTCCTTTTTTTTTTCTTGCACAACAACTTTGGTCTCCCCCCTCGTTCTTTTTTCCGAACAGAATTTTTTTCCCTGGTGTTTTTTTCTTTTTAAGGGGTGGGGGAATCCGTATTTTTGGTTCAGTCATCTGGCAACCCTACCGGTTTTGAACTGGATAGTCCAATATTTGAACTTCCGGAAACAAATTGAGAAAATATAAATGTCCAGTATTTTCTAAATAAGATGTAATATAGATTGTGATGTAATGTCAAGTGCGTCTGGTATTTTTCTTGAAACCATCTGGCAGCCCTACTTCAAATGGTGAGAATTTGGCATGTCTGCCACTTCGGCCAAATTTAAACCCCCTGCCTTAAAGTTAATCTCAGTATCAGCCCTTTTCTAATTCTTAGTGCTCAGTTCTGCTTTCAGGTATCCCAAATGAAGGCTTACACCTTAAGGCATTTATGTTGTATACCATATTAATGAATCTTTCAAGTCCCTTCTATAAAAACACTACAGTAATTGCTGTTGTGGTTTGGACCATTACTGTCAAATATCCTAGTCCATTTATGAAAGGGTTTCCCATTATATTATTAGCATTTGTGGTTCAACATGTAAAGCTGCTGCTCAGCAAGCACAGCAGGAACTGCTCAGAGAGATGCCCATTTATATGCAATATTTCACTAAGGCATGGGTGCAGAAATCTCCTTTCTTCCTTATTTGGTCATGGCACAATATTCCATGAGTATTCTGTTTCGTGTGTGTGTGTGTGTGTGTGTGTGTGTGTGTGTGTGTGTGGAAATCCCTCTGCTAAGAAACTAACCTGTTCTGTACGTATTCCTCTAGTAAACTGAATCAGTAGAGATTTTAGCATACTGAATGAGGGGTATGACAATGCTGCTGGAAAGAAGCAAAATACAAAAATATAACACATCTTTTATCCCAGAGAGGAAGTACACTGTGCTGATTTAGCACACTATTAGAAGTTAGGAGATATTTACTAGTTCTACTCCCAAAGCTGAAGCTGAGTGACTCAGGGACCTTGCTCAAGTCATTTCACATCTGTTCTTCAGCATTCCTGTGGGTAAAGTGGGGATAATATGTATTTACTAACGACCTGATTCTGTGCCCCAGAAATCAGATGGAAAACTAAAAGCAGAGCCACTGATATTTTTACACCGGAGCTTGAGTAGGCAGATCTGAGCTAGTTTTGACTGAGCTAGCATGCTAACAATGGCAAATCAACCATAGCAGGGTACAGGCATGGGAATGAGCTAGTTGCCTGAATATGTACCTAGAGTTTCACAGAGGATCGCAGTCAGAGGAGTTAGTCCCTTCTGACACCCATACTATTATGACTTGATTGCAACTATCAGCTCACTAGCTTTGTCAGAATGAGTGTAGGTATGTCACCTGAAGCTGGAAATTATGCCTCCTACTCCAGTGTAGACATACTCTTAGGGCATGTTTACACTACAGCGTTATTTCGAAATAACTCATGTTACTTCAAAATAACAAGGTGAGCATCCACACAGGAAGCCCATTATTTTGAAGCTATTTTGAAATAACAGGCTTCTTATTCCAGATTAATAAACCCTCATTTCATAAGGAATAATGCCTATTTCAAAATTGCTATTTCGAAATAGCTCCTCCCGGGGCCATTCAAAGTAATTACTCCCCAGTGCTTCCTGGGACTCTAAATCACGGTAGCACATCCACATTAAGGGAGCCTGCCTCGGGAGCCTGCCTAAATTTGAGGTTTCCCTGTAGTGTGGACATGCTATTTCAAAATAGCTATTTTGGAAGTTATTTCAAAATAACTTATTTCCAAATACCCTTGCAGTTTAGATATACTCTTAGGGCATGTCTACACAGCAGGGCTATACTTGAAATAAGCTGTACAACTTGAGCTACGCTAATTGTGTAGCTTAAGTCGAAATAGCTTATTTCAACTTTTGGCACTGTCTATGCAGCAGTCATTGTGAGAGAGAGCACTCTTCCCCCAACTTCCCTTACTCCTCATACAATGAGGGTTATTGGAGTTGGAGTAATCAGTCCTCCAGTTGAACATTATTTCGACATAATGTCAAAATAACCCTTGTGTGTAGATGCGGACTATGTTATTTTGGAATAACATCAATTATTCCAAAATAACGCTGCTGTGTAGAAATAGTCTTAGAGACCCATCTTACTCTTTTTATATCTGAATTTAGTTGAAACTCACTTCTAATATATTCTAATATATTTATTTATTTAGACACTGCAAATGCTTTACTTCTATTTCCTTATGTTAAAAATCATTATATTCCACCCCCTTAAAAAACAAACAAAAAAAACCCACCAACCCTAAGAGGAGAAGGGAGTATCAGTGTGGGAGGAAGGGGAGGTCCCCAACCAGGACCTGTGACAAGAAAACCAAGGGCCCCAAATTAGATCTAGTAAGGAGGAGCTCTCTGAAAACAGTGATGACTTGAAAGAATCTTCATTTTACAGTTCTCCTGGACAAAAATGATTTACTTCTAGATGTGCCTGGCATGCATCAGAGAGCACACAAGCCACACATGGGGTAGAATTATTAGTAGCTCTGCTGGTTTACTAAACAGTGAAACAAAGTTAACATTGCTCTCAAAGATTTAAAGTAAGATTAGAATACTGTAATCATCATCATTCTGCAAGGGAAACTTTTAAAACACAGACCAAATAAATACATTCATGGCTTGAAACATCACTCTGGGATTAGCTGCAACTCACTTTTGGTGGCAAGGGTTTCTTCCTTTTTCCTATCAACTACCTTTGTGATTATGTGCAACTATCTCTGTTATAGAATCTCTCTAAACCAAAGAAGAAAGGACTTTGATAGATCACTCTCCCAGCAGGTTGAACCATAGTTTTAGCATTCCCCAGTAATAACAATTACACATAACATTTACATTTTCAAAACGAATCATATCTTTTAACTAATTTTCACTGCATCTTTCTGATGTAAGTGAATTGTGTAATCCTCAGTGACAGAGGATTAGAACTCAGATCTTCCTGGTCAGGGCTGGCTTTAGGCCGATTCGACTGATTCCCCCGAATCGGGTCCTGCGCCTAAGAGGGCACCGTGCCCTAAAGGTAGAAGTGTGCTGGAGGGCACGCTGCTGGAGGGGGCGTTGACCCTGGAGGAGTGCGGCGGCTTCCCTGCGCCGCAGGAGGGGTGAGTAGAGCGCGCGGGGGAGGGCGTGTCGGCCCCGGGGTTTGGCGGGAAATGAATTGGATGTCCTAAAGCCGACCCTGTTCCTGGTTTTCTGCTCAGTACTTTTGCTTTCTTAGGGTATGTCTACACTACCACCCTAGTTCGAACTAAGGTGGTTAATGTAGGCAACTGAAGTTGCAAATGTATCCCGGGATTTAAATATCCCGGGCTTCATTTGCATCTTGCCGGGCACCGCCATTTTTAAAGCCCTGGTAGTTCGGACTCCGTGCCTGCGGCTACACGCGGCACGGAGTAGGTAGTTCGGATTAGGCTCTCTAATCCGAACTACCGGTACTCCTCGTGTCTGCTTTTTCAGAAAAAGCGGACGCGTTCTTTTGCCTTCCCTGTAATCCTCATTGTATGAAGAAAAAGGGATATGTTGAAAGAGGAGGTTTTTCCAAAATTTGGCCTTGTGTAGACAGGCCAAATTTCAGAAAAGCCTCTTTAGAAAGAAAAGCAGAAAAAGATACGCAAATTGCAAACTGCAATTGTTCCGACTTTTCGTTGTAGTGTTGTAGACCTAGCCTCTATCAGTGGTTGAATCTAAAAGTGAAATTTGTTGACTCGAGCTGCATTTTCTGAAGCGCTCTCATTACGACATTCCTGATTATTGGGTTCTCAATCTCTCTTCTTTTACTGAGTGTCACCAAATAAATCCCTTCTCTCTCCTGCTGTTGTAAATGAGGAGACCCTCACAGCAACTCACACATTCAGATAAGACAAGTGACATGTCTGCTGCAGTCTCTAGCCCAGAATTTGCTGCTCTTGGCAAACACTGACTAGCTCCAGCCAGGAATGGCACAAGGTTCTCCATGCAGGTCAGTACAAGCATCTCAGGCTTGATTTGTCACATATTTGCTATTTCAGGCCTGGCTGCCTCCTGAACTAGGACTCCCAGCTGTGATATTAAAAGGTATATTTGGTATTGTGGACAAAATGTCCATCAGATATTCAGTTGATACCACCAATCTCTAGTATTCATAACCCAGACACTGCAATTTGGACAAGGAAGTACTTGAATTTTTCCTTTGTCACTTATGACCTCTTACCACTGTGCTATACTAAACTACATGGTAAAAATGAAGCTCTGTGCCACCGAGTCCTAAGTTTTTAATATTGTTTCACATGCCACTAACTTTTTCCAAAGGCTAAGCTCTCCTTCTAAGTGCCATGCAGCAAGTAAAAAGGTAAGGCTCTAGCTGACTTCTCTGAAAGGATATAATCACTTCTACTGTTGTCTGTTGAGTATTAGCACTTTCAGTGATGACACTGAATAGCCAAGCTCTTACCCTTACATTGACGTCAATGGGAAGGTAAGACTGGTTAACTCAGAAATAAACCAATAAGGATGCTCTGCATTATATAATTACTAAAAGATAATCTCCTTTGTTGCTTTTATTTATTAATGACTCATATGGTCCCAGGACACAATACGCATTGCCTTCTTATGGCTTTGATTGTTCCTTCTTGAAAGCTGAAGAAAAATGGATACATAGTAATACTGAAGAGCTCAATCATACAGTCTTTACTTGGCAAAATTCCTGCGGAAGTCAGAGAGCACAGGGTCTGCTCTCTAAGGGCAATCTCCTTTCCTAGGGATGATGGCTAAATTCTGGTGCTTGTTGTTATAGTTTAACACTTACTGCTTCAATTCAAGCCAAAAATGCCAGATTAAAGTGAACAGAAAAAAATTAAATTTAATTCCCAGAAGAAGTTTAGAGATTATTATTTTTTTAGAAAGGAAATAGTTTAACTACAAAGTTTGAGAAAGTTGTGTGTTATCGTCTTTTTTGTGTCTTTCTCCTGTAACTTTATACTGCATTCTGCTAGAAATTAACTAAAGATCAGAAGAAAAGGAATATCTGACATAAGAATGAGAACTTGGCCAAAATCCTGCTCAGAACGTTATTTGTTTTTCTTCTAATTTTCTCTAATCTTGGCCTTTTAAGTCTAAGGGAATCTATATTACAGGTTGCACCTCTATAACCCAGGACTCTCTCGTCTGGCAACATCCATGAACTGGGAAGACCATGGATGTTCCAGAATCAGAGAGTCGTGTGGAGCTGCAGGGGTTGCAGCAGAAGTCCAGTGTGATGCAATGGGGAGGGGAGGAAGCCCAGAGCAATGCAGATAGGTTGTTGGGTGTGGGGGCCAGGAGCCGGGAAGCCCAGTGTTTGGCTCAGCAGGGCTGCCTGGGGGGTGGGAGGGGCTGGGAAGCCCAGTGGAGTTGTAGGGCAGGGAATGGCGATGGCAGCAGGGGGCCAGAAATGACCTCCCCTGGTCCAGCACAGTCCTCATCCGGGACCAGTCAGGTCCCAAGGGTGCCAGATCAGGGAAGTCCAACCTGTAGTACAATTGATTGGCTTGAGGAAAGGGGTGTAGTACAGGTTGCACCTCCGTTAACTGGGACTCTCTGGTCAGCAACATCCATGGTCTGGCACAACCTTGAATATTCCTGGGCCACAGAGCACAGGAACAGGGAGAAACAGAAGGTGGTAAATAGGAGTATATTAAAATAGTGGAGAAGCCCATAGAAGGCCCATTCCTGTGGTTCCCACATACAAAAAAACTCGTGGATTTCAGTGACCATGTTCCAGTCGAAAAGCACAGAGTACCTTTTCAAGCCAGATGCTGGCTGTCCCATTTTCTGGATGGCTTAGAATTCTGAAAGTTTCATCTTCATTTCCCGATTCCACAGAAAAGTGTATGAATTTGAACTTCATTTCTTCATCCTCATCTGTTGCCGTAATAGTTGTTATTAATGTACCTACTTCTGTATCCTCAGGAAAACTGAATGGCCCATGCTGCATTTAAAAAGATGAGAAATCAGATGTTCTAGTTCTTGTGCTGCTGTTTTACACTTTTCCTTGGGTTACTTTTAGGTGTGGTAGAAGAGAAGAAGTTGATTACAAGTCATTATGATTGCTCCACTGGTTATAACCCACTGAGGTTCTCTGTGTGGCCCACAAGTCCTTTTGTTTACCATTGCCATGCACAGGGTTGCCAGATTCTGCTGGGTTTTGTGCATGTTGTTTTTTCCCCACCAGTATTATAAAAGTGGCATGCACTTCAAACAACGGGGCACGTGAAGTGAGGTGCGTGCTGATTGTGCACAAGATTGAGAGCTGTGCACTCACTCTGCAGCCAATCAAAGTGCTGCTATGGTTCAATCAGCACACCTGAAAATTTTAGGTACGCATGTGCGGTTAGCAGAGCTATCCTATCCCTGGAGACCGTCTTGGTTACAACAATCTTGCAGCCGACTGAACTAAAGGAGGGCCACTCATGCAGCCTGTTCATTAGCCTAGGTTGCCCCTCATTGTTATGGGCTATCCAATCATCAATCTATTTCTATCCATTTAATCTAGAATGGGTTTACCTAATGATTATTATTTGCATTGTTTCTATTCTGATAGTATCTTGAGGTCCTATTGTATTATGAACCAAACAGACATGTAAAATAAATTATCCATGCTCAGGTGACTTTACATATGAACACACCAATTGGTTATAATAGAAATGCCGGGGATGAGGGAAGGAGGAAATTATAGTAATATAAATATGTTGCTGCACAGACAAGCTATGTGCACAATTTGTTGGTAGCCAGTTTTTATATGAACAGTAAATAAACATGGTAGTATCTGAAAACCATACAAACTCCCTATTTCATCTTTTTTTATTGTGCCAGGACTTTGACTCTCTAGCATTATGTATCTGAATGCATTTGTAAATGAATGTGTTATTGTAACCTTAGAAATAGTAAATTAACATTTGTGATGAAGTGTCAAGTCTCATACATAGACATTAGGAGAAGGATTTTCAAAACCACTCATCATTAACTTAATTCTGCTACCACTGAAGTCAATGAGACTTTTATCATTGACTTAAGTGGGAGCAGAGTTAGGCCAACATAAAGCATGTTTGAAAATCCTACCCTTAACCTTTATTATATCTCTCTACATATGGAAATGATTAAGCTGCAGGGTTAGTTGCATTATATTCAGTGCACCAGGGTGCCATGCTGTAAGCTGTCAGCACTCCTTTGACACCAGCTATCAGAACAAAGTTTCCAACTCTGGTGTGATAATCTTTAAATTCTGTCCCCACTGAGATCAAACATTGCACCTTCTATAATAAGAGTGACAACATCTTAAGAGGGATGATAACAATCAAGAGCACTTGGAATCACTTCTGTGTTTTGTGTTGTGTTTATTTTACTCTTAAGCAACCCAGGGAAACCTTGAAATTACAAGCAAGATTGGTTGTCATTCTTTTTGAAGTAGTATTCAGTTCATTAGGACTCTTTGTGTGAAGCCAACAAGCCTCTGCTTTTATAAGATAATGTCACTGTCAGTAAATGGGAGGTTGTCAGAGCTGCTACAGCCAGTCAAAACTCAGACCTACTGTTAAAAGTTTCATGAGTCACTCACTTCTCAGTGTTTCACCAGTTCAGTGTACTAATGCTGGTGATTTTACTGAGAGTCCTATCATAGCTGGTGACCTGCATATAGCCGAACTCCAAGAGACAGGAGATTGTGACAATCTCAGGTTTTATTCAAAAAATATAAAGAGTATTTTTTATCTTTTGTATATGAAGAAAACCTTAAAACTGTGACCTATTATCTCCTACAAGTTCAAAAATTAGGGGAAAAAAGACCTGCATATTTTTTTCTAAATCTTGTGTTTTGTAAGACACTCTCATCATTTGCAGAGCCAACTCATGGGTTTTGAACATCAGCTGCTGGTACTTTCACTCCCTGTGAATGAAAGCACTCTTACATGCACACACCTTGCCCTTCTAAGGGGTTGAGGGAGTATAACACTATCTTGAATTGGAAAATACAGAGCTTTACACATCAACACAAGTAGGGTATGTCTACACTACCACCCTAGTTCGAACTAGGGTGGTAGTGTAGACATACCCTGTTGCAAATGAAGCCCGGGATTTGAATTTCCCGGGCTTCATTTGCATAAAGCCGGGCGCCGCCATTTTTAAATGTCCGCTAGTGCGGACTCCGTGCCGCGTGGCTACACGCGGCATGGACTAGATAGTTCGGATGAGGCTTCAACTACCGTTACTCCTCGTTTCGGTAGTTCAGAGTAGGAAGCCTAGTCCGAACTACCTAGTCCGTGTCGCGTGTAGCCGCGCGGCACGGAGTCCTCACTGGCGGACATTTAAAAATGGTGGCGCCCAGCTTTATGCAAATGAAGCCCAGGAAATTCAAATCCCGGGCTTCATTTGCAACTCCGGTTGCCTACATTACCACCCTAGTTCGAACTAGGGTGGTAGTATAGACATACCCGTACATACCAACCATCTATGCACCTACATACATACACACATGTGGCAGAGCCCTCATATACAACCACAAGCACACCTTCATATATAGTCGCCCATACAGACATGAAGCTAACAAACTATATGCTGCTTGTCAAAAATGTATGCACATTTGAATGCAACAATCCAAAACTACAGATATTTTATGTATGCACCAATTCATATGTACAAGACACAAATAAAATCTTGTACAAACACAAGCATGCACCTACCCACCCATTCACAAACACAAGCATGCATGCACATAACCTACCCCCGTGTGCTCCACCCATTTATACATGGATATTGGCTTGTGTTCTTTCATTAATAGACACATCATAATCCCCACACTAAATTTTCTCTCTCTTAGCTGACCGTTGAATATAATGTGCTTTGGGTTTCTTCATCAATGGAATTGAGGGAATTTGGCATGTGTTTTACAGTGCTGTAGCAGTCATCACTTTATGGATGTCTTTAAGACCATATTATATCTTCCCAGTCACTGATCTACACATATTGTAAATTACTTGCATGCTCTGTGAGGTTACCTTTGTCTGTGAGAACACAGGAGGGCTGTCATTTACATCCACAACTGTAATCAAGACAGTACAGGTGCTGCTGAGACCTGGAACCAAACACGGGATTTTTTTCAGATTTCTTGACGAAAGTAAATCTCTGATGCAGAAGCAGTTATTCTCTAATGCAGCGTTTCTCAAAGTGGTCCTCAAAACCATCTATGCACCAATATACGTACACACATGCGACTCCCATTGACTCCGGTTCACTGTTTGCAGCCAAGGGGAGCCTCTGGTGGGGGAAGGGTGCTGCGCCTGGGGCTCCGCTTTCTTGGCCCCCTACTCTGGAAATGCTTCTGGCCCCAGCCCACCAGATTATCCCTGATGATGCTGGACCAGGGAACTCCAGATTATGGAGTTTCAACCTGTACATTGGTTAATAGATGAGACTGAGACCACATTCTCGGTTTGCATCAACATATCTATTCACGTCACTGGGGTTACACCAATGTACAGTAGCTGAGAATTTGGCTCTTGAATTGTAGTCCAGGCTCTGCCACCTTGTACAAAATACTCATTTTTTTTCCCAGGGAGGCAGGAGGCTAATTTCACTGGAGAGAAACTGGCCGTGTCGGAGTTGATAAACTGCACCCCATGATGAAAACCAGCAGGTTCAGGAGCTCCCCTGGTGCTGTATCATGGGATGATCAATAAGATAGAGGGCCACATAACAAATCTATTAAGCAACCCAGGGAAGCTGAATGTCACGGCTACTGTCTGATTACATATTTACATGTGGGAGACCTATGATACTGAGCAGTTTCCCAAAAAAAGGCAATTGTTTTTGGACTTGCTGCATTCATGTGGTGATAATTCATGCCATCTGCACTTTAATCAATGTATTTAACTGAGGGAGTGTTTGTTTAGGTGAGGGGTTTTTTGTTTTTTGTTTTGTTTTGTTTTGTTTACATTGGACACTGCAACAACTTAGTAACAACTCAGTGATCAGATCCCTTGATCCTTCAGAAAACATACCTCCTTCCATCCCGGTAAGATCTGTTGCAAGAACAAGAAGTTGATAGTGCTTTGCAGCATTGGTCTTCAGTTCAGAGACCTGTAAGGTTATCACTCCAGTGTCTTTTCCAATACAAAATGAAAAGCCTTCTGACACTTGAGGCTCCTGGTTCAATATCTCATAAGCAATTTTAGCATTGTTGGTCTTTGGGTCATCAGCATCTTCTGCTTTGACTGTGAGAATCTCACTCCCTGCATGCAGAGAAACATCACCAGTTACCCGGGAATAAAGGAACTACAAACACAGCAATATAAAAAATGACTTTCTAAAGTAGTGATTTATTTGTCATTTCACCTCTTCACTTAGCATAAGAGATGAGCCCAAGCAGCAACATTTAGAACCAGATCCAAACTTTCCCCAGGATCAGTGTGTTTTGATCTATGGATTGGACCAAGTTTTACATATACAGGATTCAGTTCATATGTGGGCACATTGTATCTTCACAGGAACACAACCAAAACAAGAAACTAGACATAAGGAACATGAGAAATGAACACACCCATTTAGATATTATAGGTAACTTTAGTATAGGCAAGTACCATTTTAGGTAATATAGTTGCCAAATTTTCCCATAATTAAATTATAAACTTTTATTTCCCTGTTTGACTAGACCTATTGGTTCATATTTAATTTTTATATAAATTTTATAAGACAAATACAAGATTTAGTTAGTATTTAGCTTGCCATGAACCATTTCTTGAAGCTGCTCACATATATGGGCACGTCTACACTACAGTGTTATTTCACAATAACTCACATTATTTTGAAATAACAAGGTGAGCATCCACACAGCAAGCCTGTTTCAGAATAACAGATTTCTTATTCCAGAATAATAATAAAATCTTCATTTCACAAGGAATAATGCCTATTTTGAAAATACTATTTCAAAATATATCCTCTCCAGGGCCATTCAAAGTAATTACATCCCTGTGCTTCCTGGGGCTCTAAATCAAGGTAGTGCATCCACATTAGGGGAGCCTGCCTGGGACTAATTTCAAGGCTTCACTGTACAGGCAGTCCCCGGGTTACGTACAAGATAGGGACTGTAGGTTTGTTCTTAAGTTGAATCTGTATGTAAGTTGGAACTGGCGTCAGCCGCTGCTGAAACTGATCAGTTTAAACCGCGGCTGAATCTGGACGCCAGTTCTGACTTACATACAGATTCAACTTAAGAAACCCAGGCGTCCCCAAGTCAGCTGCTGCTGAAACTGATCAGCGGCTGATTCCAGGAAGCCTGGGGCAGAGCAACTCTGCCTCGGGCTTCCTGTTGTCAGCTGCTGGTCA